ATCTATCTATCTGTCTGTCTGTCTGTCTGTCTGTCTGTCTATCTATCTATCTGTCTGTCTATCTGTCTGTCTATCTGTCTGTCTGTCTATCTGTCTGTCTGTCTGTTGTCTGTCTGTCCATCTATCTATCTATCTATCTATCTATCTATCTATCTATCTATCTATCTCTCTGTCTCTCTGTCTATCTGTCTATCTATCTATCTATCTGTCTGTCTGTCTGTCTGTCGGTCTGTCTGTCTGTCTGTCTGTCTATCTGTCTGTCTGTCTATCTCTCTGTCTATCTGTCTGTCTGTCTGTTGTCTGTCTGTCCGTCTGTCCGTCTGTCGTTTACATACAGTCTCTTCACTGAATCTCTAGCAGGTTAAAACAATCATTCACCCACAAATTGAACATTTCCTTCATAAGTCATAATTTACTCCCCCTCATGTCAAAATCAGCGTAGTGATTTCTGAAGGATCATGTGACACTGAAGACTGGAGTAATGATGCTGAACATACAGCTTTGATATCAGGAATTGTTTTAATGTATTACAATAGAAAAGTTATTTGCAAAATGTAATAACATAAGTGACCATAAGACATTTTTTTTTTTAAATCTTAATTTTCCAAACGGTTGACTGGTACTCTAGGTGTATAATTTGTAAACAACTTTGATTTATTTATTTATATTGTTTAATAATATTTTGGAGTGTTTTTTGAAATCTTCCCGCTAGTATTATTGCGCACGACTCTGGGGGACCACATTCAATAGACACACTGTGTGTTTTGACCCCGTCACCAATCACTTGCAAACCATTTATAGAAGCTCTTTTAGCCAGCGAGGTCCGGGTGGAATAATTACTGCTCTTTCACTTTCAGATCTCTAAAAAAGATAAAATAAAGCCATTGCCAAGTCAGATTTGAGTGTTTCATAATGCCTCAAATGTCACCTGAAGCACGAGAGACACCCATCGGCGAGCTGCAGGCGGGTGTTCATGTGCCAGCGTGTGCCAGACACTATGAAGTGTCCCGTGTTCAGACTATAAAGAAGGTATCAGTAAACCAGCACAACAGATGGCCATCCAAGATCTAGCTGTCCTGGGGTGACCACACATACGGGTGAGACCTTGTGTCTGCCACGGGCCGGCATCATTATAAGCTCCTGTCCAAGGAAATGTGCTAACATCCAATAACTGTAGATGTAACTCAGTGTCTCTGAGCTCCAGAGAAGAGCAAGAGTTGATCATCTTCTCAGTTGTGCTTTCTAAGGCAAGCATCAGTGTTAGCACTGCTCATAGTTTGGGATTTGAACAAGCTAAGTTTACTATCACTGCAGCAGAAAGATACAATACAAACGACGAGGACGAGTTACGTTAAAACTCAGAGTAAAACAACCTGTAAAAGTCTAAACTATGAAATAGTTAAGTCACACTGTGGAATATAAAGTTGCAATTGTGAGCCATAAAGTCACAAATACAAGAATTAAAGCCACAGCAATAAGAAATAAAGAGTAACACTTTATTTTAAGATGGCGTAGTTACATGTTACTATATAAGTAACATTATAAGTACTGTTACTATATGTACTTACTCTAGTAATAACAGTAAATTATGCATAATTACAAGTAACTAACCCTAAACCAAGTACATGTAGTTAATTCATATTATATTACTCAGCACTTTGTTGAGTACATGAGTACAATGTAACTGTCTTAAAATAAAGTGTAACCAAGTAAAGTCACATTTACTGAAAATAAAGACAACATTGATTGCAAGATTTAAAGTCACAATTGGCATACATAAAGTCACATTTATGAGAAATAAAGTTAAAAGACGCACTTTTACTCTGAGTAATGCAAGTATACACTATAATTAAAAAGTTTGGGGTTGCTCACAAAGACTGGATTTATTGAATCAAAAACAATGATTTTTTTTAATATTGTGAAATATTATTACAATTTAAAATAAAATGTTTTGTATTGTAATATATTTAAAAATGTAATGTATTCCTGCGATTAAAGCTGAATTTTCAGCATGCTCAAGAAACATTTCTGATTGTTATAGGGGAGTAATGATACACGTATTCGTATTGAACTTTTCAGTACGAGGCTTTCGGTTCGGTACGCATTTCATACCGAACGATTCGATGGACCATTCTGCCTGAAATAAAATAAGCTTTGTTTAGCCTATAACTTCTACAATATTACATTTCAATTTTTTTATAAGGAGCTGTTTTTGTTTTATACGCTGCTAAGAAGAGTCAAGTATACCTCCATCATTGCTCAAATAAAAAAAAAAAAATATACTTTATGATATTAGTTTTAATAAATAAATTAAAATGTAAAAATCAAGGAAATTTCTCTGGCATTTCATTCTTTTTGCTGTATCGAAAACATACCGAACCGTGAATTTTGTGAACCCCTAAATGTTGAAAACAGTTGTGCTGATTAATATTTTCGTGAAAACTATGATACGTTAATGTTACTTGGGATCAATTTAACCTATATAATTTAACCTTTGTAACTTATACAAACAGTAGTTGTATTATTTATGGACCTGAGATCTATTACTGTGTTTTTTGTTCTTACGGCATCATGTAAATACCATGTAACATCCATGCCGTGTGTCAAAACCACTATCTAACGATCACTGTTCAGTCTCAGTACTTTACCGGGAGGGAAAGCTTGACTCAAAACAGTGTGACAGTTTTGTTTTTCCTAGCTTCATACTGCTGTGTGTTTGAAATAAGTGCTCAGTGCTTTTGCCTCAGTTCAGCTTTAGTTGATCCCTAACATAACAGTGGAATATGTGTATAACAGGAGCGATCAGCTGCAGTTCAGCGGCTCTAGCGGAGGTGACCTGAGCTCTCGCTGAGCCCGAGAAGGATTTTCTACGAGTGTTTTCATCACTCTTTGTAGCCACAAATGGGGACTAGCGGTGTGATATCTAGATTACCTGGACAGACAGCTACTGCATCATATTAAAAGCCTTACCAATCTTCCCTGTCAGCCTCACCGCAGATCTCTCGGCCTCAGACTGTCATTAGTTTTGAGTTGTTTATTTTTCAAAACTTCACAATAGCACATCTGGTAGTGTGAGACGGTGGTGATACTTGTCAAAAGTAGTATTACCGTGACGGCTGTCAGATTCTCTCATCTGCACTTCATTATATAATTGAAGTGTTGGATATAAATATGAACATATTTTACCTGTAAAAATAGCTTCGTTCTGAAACCTGGAAACAGCTGCTGTAGCAATTTTTGGCATCATAGCCATAACAGTGTTATTTATTTAGAAGTGGTCCTATTATGCCCTTTTATGAAGTCTTGATTTTTTTATTATTTTTTTTGCGGGGTTCTAGAATATGTTTTCATGCTTGATTGTTCAAAAAACGTATTATTTTTCACATATTTTACATTATTACAGCTCCTCTCTCCCCAGTCTGGTTAAACGCGTCGTTTTCGATGAAGCCCCTCCTTCCGAAATACAAAATGTGCTGTGATTGGTTAGCTTGCCCAGTGTGTTGTGATTGGCAGCACTAATCACATGTTCTGGAAATGTCACGCCCCTTCATAACCGCAAGCTCTACTCAGATGTAAATATTAACGATTGCGTCAATTTCAAACCATTTCGAGCCGATTCAGACCCTGACAATGTTAATGAACAAGACGATTGTGCTGAATGGATTTCAAGCATGGACTTTGCAAGCACAGATTTCACAGGACGTTTTAGAGTGGTATGTTTTTGTTTTGTTTTGTTTTGTTTGTTTTTTCATATAGATACGATGTTATCCGCCATTTAATCATATTTGTCAGAAAACTATGGAAATAAAAACGGTAATAAATCACAAAATGATGTTTAATTTTCCTAAGGGCGGTGAACAGTCGTACAAAAGCTACAGTAAACACTACATCAATACTGTAATGTTAGTTAGCAGGCTAGCGGAGGCAAAGCTTTACATCATAGCTACCATAGCAACTACATAAAGCTTATAATTGAAACTGTTAATAGAAAACACAACTACAAATAATAAGACATACTTATAAGTTGTGATCCACAAACAACAGATTGTCCCGACAAAATGGGAATGGCTCCGTCTTTCAGGAGAAGCTTTTCTGTGTATAGCCTGCATTGCACACTCTTCTGGAAGCTGTTCTCCGCACAGACAAACGCTGAGATTATAATGTTCAGCAACAGTTTAAAAAATACATTTCAACCTCTCTAAGTTCGTCAGCCTTAGGACAAACCTTTTCCGGGGTGTAAAAAACAGCGACAACAAGTCACCCAAAATGGCCTCACCCCCTGTGTTGCGTGTTCCCGGGGGCGGAGTTTATGTAAATTTTAGGGTTTGTGATGTCACCAAACCAGGAAGAAGCTCTTTGTAGTCCCGACCATCCGTTTGTTGTAGTCCTTAAAAAGCGATTTCAGTCAAATAAAATATCTCCCTTTCCATTGAACTTTGAGGGCCGTAACTTTGCAGATGTTGTTTATGCTCAAACTGCAACATTACACACTAACTAAGGTTAAAACGTGAAATTATAATCAAGGAACTCTTTAAGGCTGCTTGTTTAATGTTTTGAATGATGTCACGTATGGCTGATTTTCACTTATGCAGCCTCACGGTGTGGTCACACTAACGAAATGTGTGTGAAATTGTGTGAGCAAAAAGGTCCATTGTCAATAGTGTGTGCATCACAGTAGTCACTCTCTAACCAAGCAGCTTTCTGCTGGGCACTGTGGCGAATTTCCTTGAAAAACTCATGTGAAATCTGCATTGGGAAATCTTTCACCCTATACAAATCCATATCATGTAGATTCCTATTGAAATTCGTGGATTTTTTCAGTGCAAATTCGCCCAACAATGGGGAATGAGAGTGCGCCTTTAGAAGCCAGCTGCTTATGTGCCGACACCTGGTCTGTGAAACAAAGATCCGGTATGATCACAGCTGTTACTGGTACTGTACTCTAGGAGACCCTTCAGAAAAGAAAACCCTCTCAAAACCTTGTTTTCATGTTTCTCTAGGTGGAGTCGACCCAGAGTATGATTCGCATACTTGGTCTCTCTGCAACTCTGCCAAATTACTTGGATGTGGCGTCTTTCCTGCATGTGAACCCTTTCATTGGATTGTTCTACTTTGACAGCCGTTTCCGTCCTGTTCCACTTGGCCAGAGCTTTGTTGGCATCAAGACTACAAATAAGGTACCCAGCAGCCAAGAAATCTCATGCTATGCCAAATACAATGGCTTTTGGAATCATATTTCAGCCTGTCTAATTGCCATGTTCTCGCCACAGATTCAGCAGCTGCATGACATGGAGGAGGTTTGTTATGAGAAGGTCCTGGAGCAGATCAGAGCAGGTCACCAGGTAATGTTGAAGTTTATTTCTTCTTCTTTTTGTCATTGAGCAGAATGTTTAATATATATATATATATTACGACTGAAATGTGGGGTCAAGGACACAAAAGAGGTTAGATTGTGATCGTACTCATTCCAGTTCCAGTATAACCCTGATTTAGAGATAACTTTGTAACCTCTAGCTACATAGATACATATGCCTTAATTTTCTGGCAAATTTCCTCTAAGAGAAAAATAAACTAAAACATGCCTCCAAACAAAACCTTTCTGTGAACTAAAAATGAAGAAGACTAAAACTACTGTACCCCTAAACCCTGTTCACACCGCCAGCGACAAAGCAACGTGATCCCATTCATTTCAATGCAGAGCTGGCGATTTCCAGCGACTCGTGCAACCTTTTTTAACCTTATGCAAATGAAGAGTTGGGCTCATTTGCATATTCATAGAACCGCGTATACTAAATGGAGTTACATTCGAGCTTTTTTAAGGCATGACGTTTTTTTTTTCCAAAGGAAAATACATTTAAATGTCATTTTGGTGATCAAAGATGAGTTTTAAGGGATACAATTATTGACTACAGGGCGACTTTAATGTTAAGCAATTTATATAGTGATTCCATTCATATTTAGTATTTTCCCTCCAAAATGTTTTAGTGGCATGAAAACTGATTCGTAGTTTACAGCATGGAATAACTTTTCCTTGTTTAACTTAAACTGAATGAGCTTTTTTTGTAAGTTGGCATTCATTGTTGCAAGAAAAAAACTAAAACTTTGTTAAATGTCTTGCACAGTCTGCCAGAATAAATCAGTGAGATTTGCATCATGAATGGAATAGTTCACCAACTTTGAACACATAGGATGTTTTCATTTGTGAAACAGCAGGATGAGGGATGAGAGGATGGTGATTGTAACTGTCAAGCTCCAAAAAGCACATAAATGTAATATAATAGTCCATAAAGTTTATGCCATATAATGTGTTCCCCCTTACCTTAAACCCAGGGGCGGACTCGGACCAAAAAGTGGCCCTGGACTTTCTGGCCCACAGCAACCCACCACATCCCACATCACAACACATTGGCCCATTGGAATATTTTTTAACACCACTTATAGCATAAAAATATAACACAATACAAAAATAAATGCTATTTAAACATTTATTTTAAGTAACACAACATATATTAGCTCATATTTGTAAAACCAAAGGGAAACAAACAGAAGAACATTAAGACACACAACACAACATTATTAATATAAAACTATAAAGACAGCATATCAGCGAGTCAGGGGGAGCTAGAGCCGTCAGAGCTGCTGAACTGCTACTCTTCGCGCCAAATGTATAATCTGTTAATTTTCACAGCATCTACCTCTAATGCTTTTTTTAACGCGTAACTTTTCAGCTCCACCTTTTCTTTTCTTCCCCTTTTCATCCATGGCTGTTCTAATGTTACGTCATATTACCTGAGTGTTCCTTGGCGAATATTTCAATATTAACATGAGCGGAGTGGAATAAAGAAAGTGTTTAGCAGGATTGATAAAACGGTAAGCACGCACTGCTTTGTTTACGGTGTGTATCTGCAGCCGGCAGCGTTTGTTTCTCTTTTTAAATGACGAATATAGAGAATATATCTGCAGAAATAGACAGTTGTCTCATTTACACGGCGCAGGCGCAGAACGCGCATTCTAGCTGACAGTCGGCTGTAGTTCTCTTGGTGTGTAGGCTACAGCTTTTTTCCCGCGCCGCGAGCGAGTCGGCTTTCATCTGCGCGGCTTGGTGTGTTTCCAGGACGTGAAAGAGGGCGTGTTTCAAAATACGCAATGGAGTAGACCAAACTAATTAGCAGGGAGGGAGGGCAATACACTCACATGCATGCACACGAAACACACTCCTTGTCGGTCGCGCCCGCGCGATCGATTCCCTCATCCATTTGCGTAGAAAAGAAATGTAATATTATGATTTCCGTCATTTTTTATATATATATACTTGTGTACCGGGCCGGCCCACATTGGCCAGCGGCCCACTGGGAAAAGTCCCGGCGCTCCAGATGGCCAGTCCGCCCCTGCTTAAACCCCCAACCTCTATCTGTAAATCCCAATCTTCCCCTTCATAGTCCATACAACAAACCCCCAATACAGATCTCAATTCTACAGAAGAACACACATCACACCTTGCCAGTGTTGGTTGTAATCTGTTGATTGGTTCAGTAACTAAAAATAGCAGTATGTGAGAAATGTGTCGGTGTTGTTAATGTCCAGGGGACTGAGTGTTAACAGTACGGGACGTCGTGACCTCATTGTGGAGGATGTGGGAGAAGAGCCTCGTGTCCCTCATTTACGCATGTCCACTCGCTGAATGTATCGCTGTCGTTGATCTCTGCACCTGATCATCGTTTGTCTTCTCGAGTATGTATGTTCAGGAAGTGTCTACTCAAGGAGAAACACAATGAAAGGCTGTGAGCAAGGCCTTCTCAGGAAGCTTTAGCGGTTTAATTGAAAATCATCAGTCCTGTATTCCAGCGCTGAAGGTCACAGGCTTTGCTGTGCTGTGGTATATTGTGCCCTGTGCCTCATCCTAAACTCAATTTCCAAATCTCATAAATCTCCAAACAACCCCACTCTTACCACCGCATAACCTCCCACCCTGCAAATGCTCTGTGCATCTCCAGCTCACGTCTCCTGCTTGATGTATTCCTGTTTTTTGTGTAGTTTTCAGAGTCTGTCCGTATTCTTTCTTGCTCTAAAGGCCAGGTTAGACATTTAACTGCATGTCCTGGTCATGGACAAAAGTGCAGTATATATGGTCTAATCTAATCTTAGACTGTCCATTGGTTTAGAGGGGCTGAGAAAATCGTGTTTTTGTTAAAGACTTCATCTGGATGGGATTCGGAGCAATCATGGAGTAGTAGATCGAGTCCATCAACACCCCCGAAACTTCACAGCCCTAGACCTACGGTTCAACCTTTCTTTCGGTAACGTTAGACAGTTTTGCCGTTGAATGTTTGAAGATCACTTTGCTTACTTGTGCGTAAGCAACTTCTATCCCTTCCATTTGTTTTTGGATCCGGAGATGCTGTCCTGTTTCAGAAGATGCTTAACAGTGCCGTCTTTCTTATAAAACAGGGATTGATAGAAACACTTGTTGTCTTATTGTTCTGACCAAATGCGAACATAAATCATGTTATGACAATGACAATATCTAATGATTACTCAGATCAGATCACACATTTAAAATGATATAGCTACCTATTGAGCCACTGAAATGTCTTTCGTGTTCAGCAGGAAAAACACCATCTCTGCGTCGGCCTTCGGTATCTCCAGATCTCTGAGTTGTCGGCACTTCTCAAAAGCCATGCCGATATTTACTCGCTTTTTAGCATGGGGTTTGTGGCTTTCCCTTTTGAACTGCAGGTTCTTCGCACTTCAAGGTTTTTTGGTTTTGACAACAGGCGACTCTCCAGATGATTTCCGTTCAGACCTTTCTAGATTTAAAGCAGCCATCAAGATTAAAAATGTAAGCAACTGCATCCTCAGTACACGCCGTAGCCTGGGCCGCCGCTTTCTGTTTACGGGCGTGACGTAACCACACAAAGATGAATGACCCCAAACTGAATCGGACCCGACAGCTCAATTTGGGGTAAGGTAATTAGACAGTTTTGAACACTGATGTCTCATGTGTTTGCTTAAGAACTGATTTTTGTAAGTTTTTTAAAGTAGTCAATAATTGTATCCCTTAAAACTCATCTTTGATCATCAAAATGACATATTTAAAAGTTTTTTCCTTGAAATAAAAAATCGTCATGCTTTAAAATAGCTTGAATGTCACTCTCGCCTCATTTAGTATATGCAGTGTTATGAATATGCAAATGAGCCCCGCCTCCACTCACTCACTCAGCTCAGAGATCCACTGGTTGACGATCACACGTTGATCTGATTGGTTACAAGGTCGTTTGTGACGTAAGAAACACCAGCGATTTCAAACCGTGTTTTTGAGACTGTCTTTGGTTCACTGCAGTTTTAAGGAGGAAATACTCAGCAATGCTGTCGACTTATGAACTTACACATGGTGTGTCTTAAAGCGTATTAAAAACACCATAGACACATAAACAACATTAAAAGCTGGATTTTCATCACAGGGGGACTTTAATAATAAGTGATGTACTGCAGCTTTAAAAATCATACTTATACTTAAGTGTAACCAGCAATATACATCCCGCTGAAAAGACGTAGCAATTTCCCTATCGACCCCAACAAAGTGTGATGATCTCTCCAGTGGTTGCTCTGCTAGGACACGGTGAACTTGGGAATCTGACGTCATACATGCATCCTCGGAAAATCACTCGCTAAATAAATGTCATTGCAAAAATGTCTCAAAGGAGGGAAGTTAGTTCTGAGAAAGGCTCTAGTGTCATTTGTTCTTGCACATGACACTTTCTTTTGTTAACTAATGCAATGACTTTCATACGAGTCCAGCTTAAGTCTTCAAATTTGCGGCCAGTGTAAGTAATAATTCTGAGAGGCTGTGCATATAGTGATTTTTCCTCAATAAAAAAATAATTAAAATGTGTCATGTCATTGAGCCCTGTAGCAGCTTGACACATTAATGCAGAATTGACGTCATGAGTGGTCACTTGTGTGTGTGTGTGTGAGTGTGTGAACTATATTGCAACAGCCTCTTAAACGTCTCATCCAGTCAGATTTCATAGATGGACCTATATGTAATAATAGCTATTGTAACTAGGTTAACGTTCCTCCTACCCTCTAATTTTTGGGAGAAAATCCGTTCTTTTGAAAGACTCATGATTTAATGTGCTCCCACCAATAAATTTCATTTAGAGCTAAATGCTAAATCATTTGTAAGTGAAATGGAAAGCGATTTGGTGAGTTGAAACTGGAAGTGACTGTAAAGATGCTAGGCCTTTCTCTCAGCGGCAGTGCAGTGGGGAGCGTCTCTCTCAGCTTGATATTAAATTGTCAGAAGTGGCTGTGACATATATTAATTTCATGTGGGAGCATG